ACATACACACACACACACACACACACACACACACACACACAGCCTTATCTTTTCTCAGTCGCGGCTCCGCGGATCTCCGCACACACTGACCTGGAATAATTATCAGTAGAAATGGCCATTTCCTTTAAAGTGATGAAGATGATATTACAAGAGGACAAATATATACATTAGTGCAAGTGTGGGTGTGGGTGTGTGGGTGGGTGGGTGGGTGGGTGTGTGTGTTCAATCCCTTTTAACTTTTTTCTTATAGTACATAACTCACATTGCGCTATAGTGCTACCAGTGGTCACCACAGGGTGCCTTTTAATGGTCTGACTGAAGCCTAAACAAAATGCTAAGAGTTCATGAAGTTGGCATTGGATTTTTCTTTTCCTCTATAGAATGAAACTGCAGAAACGGCTAGTTTGCAGATTAAATCTTGTTATAAACATATAATTGTGCTAAATATGTATAAATTACCTTACATTTAAAACACATTGAATTTAAGCAAGTCAGTAAGCACTATAATGTGAATCAATATGCTAATGAAACATGGCCTGCTCACACATCAGCTCTGAGCCTGTGTTCTCTGCCGCCCCCCCTCCTCCCCAGGTCTCTAGCTCTGTGCTACTCCAACTGCTCTTGTCCTGCCAGCGCCTTCAACCCCGTGTGTGGCTCTGACGGTGTGGAATATATCTCTCCTTGCCATGCCGGCTGCACCAACTTCACCAAAGACCCCAACAACACCCACAGGGTTCAGGTGGGGAAAGTATCTATAGTCAGTGTCTGTCCAGCAGGAGATGGCGCTCGGCACACACCTAGTAACACAGAAGCCAAGCAATGTAGATGGGAACGGCAGCTAAATGTGTTAGGCTATAGTTTAAAATATATTCACTGCACCACAGAAGTTGCTGGTGTACTGCTGCCTCCAAAGACTGGTTTGTTTGTTGGTGTCATTGTGTGATTGTTATGTTCAGAATCACAGAAGTCACACAAACACAATTCCTGATGAGGCAGCAGGATATGGTTAGGGTTAACTAAACGTAACCCTGACCCTAACCATAACCCTGGAAAGTCACTGTTCTGCCCCTGTCCACAGCAGCATGGCTCTAATGTGTGCTTCTCCAAACTGGGGGGCATGTCAGCTGCTATCTACTGTAGGAAACACACTGGCTATAGATACGAAGGTGTCACATTCAACCCCACTTCAAACAATAAGAACTATCTTTAAGACATGCTTGTGAGGGGGCTGAACAAATAAAACTTGACTTTTAGCTGACTTTTTTAAACCTGACAGATATTTGTGCAACACTAGAATAACATTGTACAATAATTCATCAGCAGTAATGAGTACAATTTCCAGATGCAAATTAATCATGTACTGTAAGATAGGAATGCTAGATAAGTTTATTGAAAAGGAGAAACAGCTCAAAACACATTTAGTAATAGCTTGTAACATTTTCTCAGTGTGGGATCTGGGGATAACTATTTGGTTCTTTTCCTATTACTCGATCTGTAAATCAGCCTGGAATGGTGTAATTAATCTTTAACTGTGTGGGGAATGCAGAGACTGCATCTTCTCTTCAGGGAGTCAAGAGGTTAAACATTGTTATGGTAGTGCTGCTTGGATACTTGGATGACAGCTTTTAGACTTTGTGACATATCTTCAAAACAATCACAATTCCCAGAGCTCTTTTACATAATGTGTTCCATCAGCAGGAGCTCCCAGTGTGGATCAGTCAGAACAGACAGAGCTCTGCCGCTAACAAGTGTCTCACAGTCCAATGTCCAATCAATGCTTATCACTCACAGGACAACAGGAGGTGTTTAAAGAAAGACAACACGTCATAATTAAGATGTCAAAGCTTGCGAATAATCCTCCATTGGGAGATATGTGACTGCTAATAGTGTCCTCTGTGTAATACTGCAGAACACTGATGGGTGCAGCTATCTTAATGAATGAATCCCAAGATTAGATCAGATTAATTATAGTCTATTTTCTGTTAACTCAGAAGTCCACAAGAAAGGTGAATTAATTAATCAAGTGATGAATGTGATGTGAGAAGTGGAAAAGAAGTGGAAATGCCCAACATCCGGACACACTAGCTCTGACAGTACTTATATTTCTTGAACCCTTTGAAAACAAAACTTCATCTGTGACCCAAGTGTTTTAATTTGAATAGTTTGTTGGGTTGGCTGAAGAGAAACACTACCCCATGTTTTGTGCTTTTTTTAAATCATTGACCAGCTTAATAATTTTTCGACATTTTGGGGAATATGCTTATTCTCTTTCTTGCTGAGAAGTAATTGAGAAGATCGATTCAAATCTTGGATGCTTAGTCTGAAGCAAGATCCAGGCAGGTAACCAGCTTAGCTCAGAATAAAGAATGGCATCAGGGGGAATGAGCTAACCTGGCTCTGTTCCTTTGTAAACAAAATCTTCTGCCTACCAGAATCTCTTAAGCAAAGAATCCCGTTTCGTGTCTTGAGGCTAAACTAGCTGATGACTGTTATTGCCTAATATTCTGCGTACAGACGTGAGAGCCTCAATCTTCTTATTTAACACATTTGGCAAGAACGCCAGTAAGCTTATTTCAGAGCAGATTTGGTACAAAATAACGAGCAAAGCAAAATGTTGTTTTTCATTCTATTTGCACAGATAACCTAAATCTATAATATTCCCATTGCTTTCTTTGTGGATACAGCTGTACACCAGCTGCAGGTGTATGTCTGGGGGCCAGAGCGCCCGCCCTGCCCCCTGTCCCAACAACTGCCCACATTTGATGCTCCCCGTCATTCTGGTCATCTCTCTGGCATCGCTGATCGCCTGCCTCACTCACAACCCCATGTACATGATGGTGCTCAGGTAGGGAAGGAGGACAATGCATTTCAGTATATTCACATAATTATTTTAACTCATGTAATTTATTTTAACTATTCAAAAATGCGTAATGATATCTGCTTTTCCTCCACTACAAACACTTACTAATGATTTTATCAAACTCGTATTTAAATTTTGTTGCCAAGAAATACTTTATAAGATGATTTTTTTTTTTTCTTCTGTCAGATGTGTTTCCTCTGAAGAGAAGTCATTTGCTATAGGAATTCAATTTCTACTCATGAGAGTATTAGGTAAGTCAAGACACAATGTCTGTGTGTGTGTTATGCTATAGTTATGAATAACTAGTTATTTAATTGCTGTTACCGATTATTATTTTATAATTTAATCTTGTTTTTATTACAACAGTTTTACAGTTAATGTATTTCATTTCAGAATAGAGCAACATGTAATAAAGTGACATTGTAGAAATAAAATGTGGCTTAAAATAAAAGTGTCTATGGAAAATGTACTATTCTGAATCGAAACAGACTTGAAATGGTTATTAACAATATATAAATATCCATGGTAAAAGAAGCTCCAATAAAACATTCAAATGAATTACTATTGCACACATAATGGCTCTGAACGGTTATGTTTCACTGTGATGATTGGCTGCTATAGGGTGCCACAACAAAGTGCTATTAAACATACCTCTGAATGACATTGATTTTAAGCCTCTAGTGGCTCTAGCTCCACCACATGTTGATAGAAATGTTACACCCTCGTTCTGTCCCCCCCCTCAGCCTGGCTCCCTGCCCCTGCTCTCTTCGGGACTGCCATTGACACGTCGTGTATCTGGTGGAAGCGTGTGTGTGGAAGGAAGTTCAGCTGTGGTTACTATGACAACAACATCTTGAGGAACCGGTACGAAAACCTATCACTCTGAATATACATCACATACACAAATGCAGTGCAACACACCTTACAAAACAGCTTAGAGGCAAGAAAGAAATCATTACAGTGATCTAAGTCTGATTTTGACTGACTTGAGGACAGACGAAAAAACTAAATTCCAAAAATGTTCATTTTGGAAATGGGTTGACAAAAAAAATTCCCAGGGAAAAATATTTGTCCATCTATAAAAATTTAAACAAGTGTCACAAATTGGCTAATCTGCCACTTTTAATCCAATTTAGAACATGGGGCAGTGATGCATTTGTACGGCGCCCTGGAAGGTTCATAGAGAGAAAAATAAATAAAGCGTGGTTAGTTTTATGAAGAATATGTCCGGTCGCCAGGGCGTGTGTGTGTGTTTGTGTGGGGGCATTTGTTTATGATAGTATTGTTCGTTCCGGTGCACTCCGGCAGGGCTATAGCACATCGAGATTAAGATTAAACACATTTCTTTCACTGAGCTGAGCACAAACACACAGACAGGACATCTCCTTCATAAAACGAGGGGTAGTTCGATGTGTGTAGAGGTGTGTGTGGTTAAACGTAGCAGCATCGATCTCTGTTCAGCTGTTCTAATGAAGGGAAACGCAGTGAAGTAAACAGTAAAAGGCACAGCTCTTTGCAGCTGGTGCTGCTCTTCTCAAATTCTGCTGAGT